CAGTTAGTACCTTTACAGCTACCAGTCCTGGCGAGAGATGTCGCTATTCACTGTATTAAATGTAATACAGTAATACAGTGAATAGCGACATCTCTCGCTGTCGCTATTCACTATAATTGTAACAAACTAGTGGAGTAATTTCACAAAAAATAATTGAGTATCAATTCAATAAAAATTTAATTAAATAATATAGTTTCTAATTTGAATATAAGTACTAACACTGGTAATGAATCATACTAAGAAACAATATCCTGTTACTTTCTGTTTTTGACTCGTACGGGATCCATTATTATATATCCGATTGCAACAGCCGATGCAAGCCGATGAAAACAATTAATCTTGTTACACGAGTTTTCCAATACTGCTGGCTCATCGCATGGCGGCTCTGCGTATGCAAAATTGTATTACAAGTTCCACAGCTCTTTACAATGCGCTTGTTGTGTAGCACACGTGTAAAGAAAAATAATAATAAACGACAAGTGTAAACAAAAGTAAGAATAAACGACAAGAGTTACCGAAACTACAGCCGAAGGACTTAAGAGGGAGCAGAGGAAAATCCTCGTATGCTACAGGTTATTAGGACAAAAATTACATAATTAATTATATTTATGCATGATCGACAGCTGTCACTACGGATTTTTTTTAATCCCTTTAGTTTTAAAGTTATTCCGCTAAAACGAATTTGGTACTTTTAATGCGCAAAATTCAACATCTCCTGGCGCATGTCACGCGAACTTCAATATTTGTTTCACAAATTTGGGCGGAGCCAACGTCAAAACTTTTTTGGCATGAGAGCTCTTAAAAACCAGAATATGTTTTATTAATTTTAATAAGCCGAAATGCGTCAATGTTCGATGTTGGACCAAAAGTGCCTTGTTCCCACGGTGCCGCGCTAGTCTCATCCTTACACGTTATGCTGACCAAGTACCTCGTGGCTAATTGATGTGTTGCAATTCATGGTTTGAAGTAATGTTGCAATCCCTTTGATTCACTGTGCTTAAGCCAAATTACGGGTGGCGCGTTGCGTAACTTAAGTGTAAACAAAAATAACAACAAACTAAAAGTGTAAACAAATGTTACAAACTAACGACAAGTGTAAACAAATGTTACAAACTAACGACAAATGTAAACAAATGTTACAAACTAACGATGTTATATCGTTTTTCAGGCGACTTCGCAGTCCTACTAAAAGCAGGCATGTCTGTCAAACGAGCAGTGTGTTACAACGTGCTGTCGTCCGCACTGTGCCTTGGTGGTATGGTCTGCGGTGTTCTGGCCGGTCACGCGCCTTCTGCAACGCGTTGGCTGTTCGCCGTCGCCGCTGGCATGTTCTTGTATATCGCACTTGTTGATATGGTAAGTGAAAATGTTTATATCATTTGTAATACTGACTACTCACAAGCCTTGCTTGCTTTCCGAAACTGAGACTATATAAATCCAGTAACCTCAGATGTTTCTTATGCACTATCGCTTGTACACCTAGAGATTTATCCCTACATTTCGGACCGTCATGTCTCGGATCCGGAACTGAGGGCTACTCTCACCCGACACCCTAAACAATTACTGTCAAATAATTAATACTCATCGAGTATATAACCAGAAATAGAGACGGAATGTCGTTTAATTTGTTTAAACTATTCCGCCAAATCATTACGGTGACAACTGCGACCATTTTAACGAAAATTGAAAAATTTATATTTAATTACCGATGCAATGTGATTTCGTTTGTTTTGTAATTAGATGTTTTGCTGTTTTTCTCACACCACCGAATAGAACAGCACGCCATTGTTAGAGATTATTATCTTTATTACAGTAAATACAGAATATTTTTGGAATATACGTAGACGTACACACGGGTCAGTTGTTGACGCTGTACTATTTCAGCTTTCTAATTTGTGATTTCAAACGAGATTGATATTTAAAAGTGATATGAGGCCCATTTGCCTAACGAGTTGCGAAGATGGATGGCCCTTACTTCGTCTCTATTTCTGGTTATATACTTGATACTTTTTAATTTGATCGAGTATTACTTATTTGACAGTAATAGTTTCTCACAGATATCGGACGAAGAACTAGACAGGGCCTGATACGAACCGGACGTATGCAAAAACGCTCTTACAGTACAACTGTTTTTTTAATCTCTCGGCAATCTTCAGATTTCCGAACGTATCCGAATACACATAAGTCGAATACTTTAACTAAAATTAGCTGTTTTCAAAAGAGATTTTTATGCTTTATTTTTTTCTAATTAAAACGGATATTTGACCATTTGGACTGTGAACTGGCAACCGGTACTTTCTCAATTTTGACAACTTTACAGGTGAAGAAAAAATTATTTATATAGAATCTGGTTTATTAAATGAAAATACGTAGTGTACATACATGCATGTGTAATAAAAAATATTTAAAAACTACGTATTTCTATTTAATACACCAGATGCTATATATATATGCATCCGTTACCGACAAGTTCAATGTGGCGGTGGGCTTGCACCAAGGATCGGCTTTAAGCCCCTATCTGTTTCTCCTGATTATGGGTGCTCTAACATCGAACATACAGGAGGAGGCACCCTGGTGCATCCTGTTCGCCGACGACATTGTACTTGTCGGGGAGGACGTATTTGAGGTCCAGAGCAGACTGGGAAAATGGCAGGCAAGACTGGAGAGTGTCAGGTTGAGGATTAGCCGGTCAAAAACCGAACAACTTTTCCTCGACTATGGCAGTGCCTCCAGTTTTACCAATATTACCTTAGATGATGTATCCCTACCAGTCTGTTCCGATTTTCGTTACCTCGGTTCGTTAATACAGAACGACGGCGAGATAGACCGCTACTTGAACTGAGTAATTGAAATTTTAATAAATGTATTGTAAAAATAAATAAATCGGTTCTTGGAGATCTGCAGACCACCTCCACGGTTTGTCTTCTTATTTTTGAGTATCGATTATCACATTGCTAAATTTGATCACTTATTACAATTCATTAAACGACCTGCATTTAACTTACTTTTAAATTGCTCTGGTACCAGA